GGACGTAGTATTTTCAGTGCTAAAACCAGGAAAGTCTTGGGCAAACCAGGATGAGTTGGTTACCCTATTAACAGGGCAGAGAACTGGGCTGGAATCTCAGGACATGAAGATGAATCAAACATAGTTGTTGGCCTCAGGGGCCTTACGAGGGAAGCAGACTTGTAAACAGTAAGTGCCCTCGCATATTGCAGATGTTGTAAATTCTGTCTGTGTTGTGCTCAAGGCTTGGTGAACACTAAGAGATGATGGTCAATCCTATCTCAGGGAAGGGTCAGAAAAAGTTACGATAACAGATTTTTTATCAAGTCTACTATGGAGTGTTATAGATTGAATTGTGCCCCACCCCCTTTTTCCTAACCCCTGTGTAAATGACCTTGTTTGGGGAAGTGGGATTTTTCTTTCCGAATGTCATGAGTTAAGCTAAGGCGGTCATACTAGAGTAGGGTGGGTCCTAATCCCTTCTGAGTGGTGTCTTAAGAAATGGAGAACAGACACTGAGACACAGTCGCATGGGGAAAACAACACCATGTGGACATGTATTTAAAAATGAAGAAACACCCAGGGCTACCAGAAACTGAAAGAGACAAGGGAGGATTTTCCTCTAAAGCAGACAGAGACAACATGGCCTTGCTGATGTCCTGAATTCGACTTCTAGCCTCCAAAACTGTGAGACAATAAATTCTGTTCTTCACAGTCACCCATTTTGTGGTTATTTTGCTATAGCAGCCCCAAGAAACTAAGACAGGGGTTTACAGCTTTCTATTTTCTCTAGGTTTGTCTCACTGAGATCGCTAGTTAAAAAAGGTACCTGTGAAAACCACTATAAAACTTCTAGAAGTCGTAAGAGAAAATCCCTGTGTCCTTGCATTAGGCAATAATTTTTTGAATGTAAGTCTAAAAACCACCATTCATTTTTAAAAAATTAATACAGTGGATGTTAGCAAAATTCAGAACTTCTGCTCTTCAAAGGACAGTGCTGAGAAAATGAAAAGACAAGCCATATATTGGGAGAAAATAATAGAAAGGCAAACACCCAGTTAAAATGGGGAAAAGATTTGAATGGCTGTGGTTGGTTGCCATTGAGTCGATGCCAACTCAGGGTGACCCCATGTGTGCAAAGTAGAACGGCTCCATGAGATTTTCAAGGCTGTGACCTTTTGAAAGATTGCCGGGACTGTCTTCCAGAACACGTGTGGATAGGGTGGAGCCACCAACTTTTTGGCTAGTAGTCGAGAGCTTAACCATTTGTGCAACCCAGGGACTCCTCATTTGCATAGATGAGTCATGGACAAAGATGCATAGATGGCAAATAAACATTCAACATTATTATTCTTTAGGGAAATGCAAATTAAACTCTAATTCTAATATAATGGCTAAACTTAGTGTCTTAAAGGAACACAAATTTATTACTTACAGTTCTGGAGGTCAGAAGTTCCACACAGGCCTCATTGGGCTAAAATCAGTGTCAGCAGGGCTGTGTTCCTCCTGGAGGCTCTAGGGGACAATCTGTTTCCTTGCCTTTTCCAGCTTCTAAAGACCACCTGCATTCCTTGGCTTGCAGTCTCTTTATCCATCATCAAAGCCAGTAACATCATATCTCTCTCTGACCACAGGCAGGACAGTTCTCCGTTTTTAAGGACTTGTGAGGTTAGACTGGGCCAGGAAAATCTCTCTATTTTAAGTGTAATTTAATTCCATCCGCAACTTTAATTCTCCTTTGCCATGTAAAGTAACATTCACAGGTTAGAGATTAGAATGTGGACATCTTTGGGAGTCCCTTATTCTGCCTGCCATACTTAGCACTCCCACGCCTAGGTATTTAACTTATTGCCGTCAAGTTAATTCTGACTCATAGCAATCCTATAGGACAGGATAGAACTGTCCCATATGGTTTCCAAGGAGCAGTTGGTAGATTCGAACTGAGGTCTTAATCACTATGCACCAAGGTTAGCAGCTGAGCTCTTAACCACTGTGCACCCGGGCTCCCCGAGGTATTTACCCAAGTGAAATGAAAAATTATGTTCAGACAAAAACATGTATGGCAGTGTTTATAGCATCTTTATTTGTCATTGCCACAAACTAGAAACAACCCAAATGCCTTTCCATTAGTAAACAAACTGTGGTACATCGATACAATGGGATACTACTCAACACTAAAAAGGAGCAAACTATTGATACACATAACCTGGATGAATCTCAAATGCATTATGCTAAGTGAATCAAGCCAGACTCAAAAGGCTACCATTTATGTGATATTCTGAAAAAGACAAAACTATATGGACAGAAAATAGATCAGTGGTTGCCAGAGACTCGGGATGGGGCAAGGGGTTGACTACAAAAGGCCATGAGGGAACAATTGAGGGTGATGGAAATGTTCTATATTTACATGCAAATATTTATATGCTTGTGGTGATGGCTACTTGATTGTATATGTTTGTCAAAACTTATAGGAACTGTACACTACAAAGTATTTTACTGTGTGTAAATTAGGCCTTCATAAAGCCTGACTTTCAAAAGTGGGGAGACCCGTGGTTGAAAAGTGTTATTTTGAGAAATATGCTTCCATTTTACATCTTTCTTTTAGTTTCCTAGGGCTGCCATAATAAGTTACTGCAATCTGGATGACTTTAAACAAACAGTAATTTCTTCTCTCACAGTTCTGGAGGCCAGAAGTGCAAAATCAAGGTCCCAGCAGGGCCGTGCTCGCTCCAAAGAAGCTTTCCCTTCATCTTCCCACTTCCAATGCTCCTTGGCTCTTAGGCACGTCCCACCAGTGTCTGCTTCCACCATCGCATGACGTTCTTCTCTGTGGACCTCTGCGTCCTGTCCGCTTACAAGGACCCCAGTCATCAGATTTAGGACCCACCCTAAACCCAGGATGATTTCTCTTGGAGATCCTGGACTAATTACATCTGCAAAGACCCGCTTCCAAATAAGGTTACATTCAGTGACATCACTAGGCGGGTGCGAGGGGTGCAGACCCCACCAGGTGACACTGTCAGACGGGGTGACACCAAAATGACTGTCTATAAAATTTTTGTGCAGTGTTTCAGCAGAACTTTAGTATTCTTTATTTTAAAAATCCCCGTAGTTAGTGGCGTCACTAGGGTTGGTGTCACCCCGTGGGTTAACTCATGGTGTCACCCCCTGCCCTCCTGGGGTGGGTGGGCAGCGAACCCCTCCGCTCTGGTGGAGGGGGGTGGCTGGCCCAGCTCCACCCCTCCCAGCCCCACCACCCCATGGCTCCCCACAGCTCCTCCCCTCTCCCACTGGCCAAGGCAGAGACCCTCCTCTCTGCCCAATGGTGGGCGCCTAGGCCTGGCCACCCACACCCTGACTGGTGGGTGACATGAGGGGGAGTGTGATGAGTGACTGCACTGGGTGATGGGTGACACCAACCCTACCCCCCTCCAACAACAGCCTACCTGCTGCCCCCGCTGCCACCACCACCACCACCAACCCTGGGGTCATTTTGATGTCACCCTCTCGACAGTGACCCCCTAGTGATGCCACTGCCTGTAGTTAGTTATAACAACAAAAAATTTTTCATAAGCCCAGCTTACATGTATTAATATATCTACAAGGCTAAAACTCTATGCTAATTTACTTTTTGAACTTTCTAATATGTGGTGGCCCAGTGGTTAAGTGCTACAGCTGCTAACAAAAAGGTTGGCAGTTCAAATCCACCAGCCACTCCTTGGAAACCTTATGGGGCAGTTCTAGTCTGTCCTATAGGGTTGCTATGAGTTGGAATCGACTTGACAGCAACGGGTTTGGGTTTTTTTTTGGGGGGGGGGAATGCACTCCAGTCAGACCTGTCATTATTCCCAACTCATTTTATAGTCACTGATTTTGTCAAATTTTCTGGTGTTTTAGCTACAATATTGTAATTAGCACAGGAGGATGACACCATAAGTTACTGCACTGGGTGACAGCAACTCTAGTGATGCTACTGGCCACATTCTGAGGTTCCAGGTAGGCATGGATTTTGGAGGGACCCTATTCAATCCACTGTACCAGTAGTGATGTCTGTTATCCTGGAGAGGGACCCACCAGTTTGTTTCCTCAATTAGGGGGTAGGAGGTAGGGATAATTAGAGCCACATTACGTCTTTCATGGGCTCTTACGCTTTTAAGGAGGCCTGGTGGTGGTGCAAGAGTTAAGTGCTTGGCTGCTAATCAAAAAGTTGGCTGTTAGAACCCATCCAGCAGCTCCACAGGAGAAAGACCTGGTGATCTGCTCCCATAAAGATTACAGCCTAGAAAACCATATGGGGCAGTTCTACTCTGTCACATGGGGTCATTATGAGTCAGAATCGACTCAACGGCAAACAACAACAATCACTTTTGCCTTTGTGAGCCCTTTTCTCCATAAAAAATATTTTATTAAAGATTATATTTTACATGTTGAATTGGCAAGTGTTGGGTAATATATATATTTGACCACAGTAAGAAAAGATTATATTTTATAATTGTGTTGATGTAAAGATGAATACAATCCAAGTTGGATTATATTCACTTTTTTCCTTCTGATTTTAGAAGAAATTGAAACATTTTCATGGGCCTCTAAAGTGTCGTGAACTCTAGCACCGTGCCTGCTTTGTCTGATGGAAAAGTGAGCCCTGGGTGTCACACAAGGCTGCTGGAAAGGAAAACCAGGCTAATCATTTCCTACAAGTGAATGGCCAGTCGTAGAAATTATGCATTCAGTTCCTAGTTCTGCCATTGATTTTTCAATAGTTTCAGACAAGCTAGTTAACCTCTCAGGGTCTCAGCTCCCCAGTGTGCGAAGACAGAATAAAAAATTCAGCACTCACTCCCAGGGTCTTAGGTATTAAACAAACATTTGCTCTGTACCAGGCACTGTGGCAGATGGGGAAATCAGAGACAAAGACCCCACAGTCCCTAACATTAGCACGCTTCTGAATCCCCTCGAAAGAACATTCTGTCATCAAAAATGCACAAAATACCTCTCTGTGCTCAAAGCTAGTTTTCGACCACATGGCTAAACGCACCAAGAAGGTTGGGATCGTCGGGAAATATGGGAGCCCTTATGGCGCCTCCCTCAAGAAAATGGTGAAGAAAACTGAAATCAGCGAACATGCCACGTACACTTGTTCCTTCTGTGGCAAAACCAAAATGAAGAGACGAGCTGTGGGGATCTGGCACTGTGGTTCCTGCATGAAAACAGTAGCCGGTGGCACCTGGACCTACACCACCACCTCTGCAGTCACAGTAAAGTCCATCAGAAGACTGAAGGAATTGGAAGACCAGTAGAAGCTCCACCATTTTGAAATATCTCTAGCCTGTAATAAATGGGTTAATATATGCCAAAAAAAAAAAAAAGCACAAAATTGGGGATCCTTGAAAAGGCACTTGCTTTTCCTTTGTCTGCTTTTTCGTTGTTGTTCCTTCAAATATTGATCATTCTGTATGTATATATAACCAGGAAGCAGCTTATAACCACAAGGGTTGAATTAGAAATATAAATTCTGGAGAAATCATACATTTCTAGTGGGAGATTTCAATCAACAATTCAAGGGAGATTGCCTATAATGCTATGAGTCCATGAACTGTGAAAGTCTCCATAAGTCAATGTACACCATTTTGCCATTTTTAAGTTTTCTTTAACTCCGTTCTTAGAGCCCTGAGTTGATCATGGTAGTGGTGGGCATATAACATAGCATGATTAAAGGAAAGCTCCCTTTCACCAAGAAATAGCTCCCCTTCTAGCCTTCCCCCCACCACCTGATGGTCTATTGCTAACCATTTTTTACTTTGGATTAAATGTTGCCTTTTCCCTGTAAGATCTCTTTAAAGGTTCAAATACTCCCTTCGCCTATTAAGTCAGTTTTCCACAGGGACAATGCAAGCACCAGGAATCGGGTAGAGCAAGCAGGACTGAAAGAGGAGGAAGTCCGTGGAAGGAAGCCTGCGACAACCCCCCACCTCACCCATATCACCCACCCCACCCCACCTCACCCCACGCCAGCACCATCATGATGTTGCCTTAGTCTTGAGATAATTCCTTGTCAGAGAGTCAATAAACATTTATCCAGTGGTTCTGTGTTGAACACCTGGGTTGTGAAGAGAAACGCCTATTGCATTCTCAATCAAAACTCTGCTGTCTAAATATCATAGATAACAAATGACACCAAAGACTACCCATAACATGCCACTGTGTTGTTAGAAATGAGTTACGTATACACTTCTTTCTTCATTGCTTTTATAATTCTGCTCTAGAAACTATGGATTCAGGAATACTTTGACAGCATGGCTTATTTTCCCAAATAGGCAAGATTTGGAAGAGCACTCAAAGTTGACTCCCTCATTACCTTGACTTTCTACTTAACGATGTGTCCCTTGATAACTGACCCCTTTTAAACTAGTACCTTTAGTACATTAATCACTCATTTTAAATTTATTCAGTTTTCTGCTCACTACTTCCTCCTTCCTTGACTCCTGAACATGAGACAGAGCATTGCTGATGCCACGTCAGAGGGTTTTATCTACGGTATTCATTACACTGGGAATACAGGTTGAAACTTTACAAAACATATGTATATAAAACAGCATTCTCAGCAAAAGAGTTTTTCAGACTTAACTACTACAAGGCTTACACAATTGGCTCTTTCTCCACAATATAATAACTCATGTTATTTCTCTGTGATCTTTCAAGTATCCCTGGTGGCTCAGTGGTTAAGCACTTGACTGCTAACCAAAAAGTCAGCAGTTTGAACTCATCAGCCGCTCCTTGGGAGAAAGATGAGGCAGTCTGCTTCCGTAAAGATTTACAACCTTGGAAACCCCACGGGGCAGTTCTACTCCGGCTTATAGGGTCACTATGAGTCAAAATAGACTCGACAACAATAGGTTTTGTTTTCGGTTTAGTGATCTTTCAGATCTTTGGGTATGTTATGGATTGTCCCCCCAAACTCCACCCCCCCAAAAAAAATGTTGCAGTCTTAATTCCTGTACCTGTGAATGTGACTTGTTTGGAAATAGTTTTTCTTTTTTATTTCATTTATTTATTTGTTTGGGAAATAGAGTTAGTTTTTCTTTCATTACCATTTAAATTAAACAAGGTCATATAGGAGTAGGGTGGGTCCTAATCCTAATCCCTTCTGAGTGGCGTCTTATAAAAGAGCAGGACAGACATGAAAACAATCACACACAGGAGGAAGGCAGCATGTGAGGATCTGTCCACAAGCAGTGAATGAACGCCAAGGATCCCTAGAGGCCACCAAAAACTAGGAGAGGCATGGAACAACTTCACTCCCAAAGACCCTGAAGGCCAAGACCCTAATTTAGAGATCTAGCCTCCAGAATTGTGAGAAAATAAATCCCTGTTCTTTAAAATCACCCACTTGGTGGTATCTTGTTATGACAGCCGTAGGAGAGGCTAAGACAAGGCAGGTGCGGAGTTTATACTTCGGTAACTTGAGCATCCCAGGCCGCATTCACTTAGGACGACAAGGGGTGTGGCTTACCATTTAGGGAGACTAAGTGGTACAGATGGTTAAGCGCTGGACTACTAATTGAAAGGTTGGCAGGTAGAACCCACCCAGAGACACCTCAGAAGAAAGGCATGGTGATCTGCATCGAAAGGTCACAGCCATGAAAACCTTACGGAGGAGTTCTACTCTGCACATATAGGGTCACCATGAGTCTGAATCAACACTACAGCAACTAGTTTGTTTATTTATTTTTGCTTACTATTACAATAGCAAGTCACATCCCTGACTTTGGGCTTGTCTCTGCCTCTCCCTGCTCACTCCCAACAGAATCAGTAGATACTCAAGTCCTTCTCTCTAAATCCACTTTGTCTCTGAGAAGGGTCAGGGTGAGGCAGGCATGTGTGGAGGCTACTAGTGAAGGTCTTCCTCAGCCAGCAGCACCACAGTCTGCTCTCCCAGTTGGACAAGGGAAGCAGAACAGATTCTGATACCATCAACTGCCGCTAAAGTACTCATTGTCCACAGATAAGACCAGCATCTGAAAAGGTAAGTGCACTACAATGGGGTAAGGGCTGGAACAAAGCAATTATGTGTGAGCTTGGAGTATGAAGGAGACACTGGCCTGGGGAGTCTGGAAGATTGGATTGAAGAGGGTAGGTCATTGAGTGGGCCCTCATCTAAAGGACAAACAGGGAGAGATCACTCTAGGTCAGTAGTTCTCAACCCTGGTTGAACATTAAAATCACCTGAGGAGTTTAAACAAAACAAAAAAAAAGAGGCCCAACTTCCAAAGTTTCTGGTTTAATCGGCCTGATTTGAGGTCCAGACAAGGACATTTAAAAAGCTCTCCAGAGGAAGATGAGAATGGAGCCTGCAGTGCTGGATTAAAGCTGAAGATATTAGTATGAATTCATATTCATTCAATATACATACCAATGGAGAGGTACAGAAATAAATAGAGATACATGCATGTATACCTAGTCGGTATACATACATTTCCTAGCTTTGTCTCCTGGGAGTAGAAGCAGAGACACCCAAGCAATAATAAACACACCTAGCACCCAGATTTTAGTTTCTAAACTAAGATCTCCCATAACAGGAGAATGCTCCCTGGAAAAATGGCAGATTCTACGCCTGGGGCAGGGAAAATACATGATGAACCTGAACCATCTCATAATAAATGTTAGAAAGTAAGGAAATGTTAAAAAAAAAAAAGGGGGAGGAGATATGCATGCCGGAAGGACAAAGGAGCCGGCCTGAAAAACCTCCCAATGGGCAAAACTGGAACAATCTGAGCAACTAAATAAATCAGGATATATTGGATTATAACCCAAAGCATAAAATAAATATCTATGAGTTCATACTGATGCATATGAATCTATAAACACATGAAATATAATAAGCACATATAAATATAAAATATAAATACATAATTGAGTAAACAAATGGGAGAGAAGGGACAACGCTTCCTTACAAAGAATTCCAATTAATAAATGTAGAAGGAATGAGGGATGTTGAAAAGCACCTTTAAACACCACAGAAATAATAGCTGTAGGAAAGAGTCACAGATGAACGCCTCAGATGGATTCAAACCTCTAATCTTTCAGTTAGCTGCCAAGTATGTTAACCATTTGCACCACCCAGGTACTCCAGTAAGACTAATTAGTCTTAATTTCCATCAAGACTAATTTTCGTGGTACACGGTCATCCTCCTCAAAGCAATTATCAGGGTGTTGTCATCACCAGAAAGAAAATGAACGTGAGCTGTTTAAGAAAAAATGTAACCACCAGGGAAATAAAAACACCTTCTTTAAAGTGTGGTTACTTCAGGAGAGTGAAGTAGAAACTTTTTTTTTTTTTAATTAAATACCATTTATTACTGTTTGTGGTGTAACTGGGTAGCACAAATAGTTAAGCACTGAACTGCTAACTAAAAGGTTGGTAGTTCGAACACACTCAGCGTTGCCTTGGAAAAAATGCCTGGTGATCTGCTTCCAAAAGGTCACAGCCATGAAAAGCCTATGGAGTGTGATTCTACTCTGTACACATGGGGGCGCCATGAATCAGAATCGACTCCACGGCAACTGGTTTGGTTTTTGGTATTACTGCTTGTATTATTTTTTTACTATGTGTGTATATTAATTTCATAATAAGCATATTCTTAAGGAAGAAAATCTCACTTCCAGAAATCTATCTATGCATAAGGATGTCCATAATAGCATTGTTTATAATTGTTAAAAGGATCCATCAGTGGAAAACTAGTTAACTAAATCATGGGACAAATATATAATAGAATACTGTGCAATCATTAAAAATGATTATGGAGATGAATAATTTTGACTTAGAAAGATGTCTATAATAATCTTGAATGAAATAAAGCAAGTTAAATTTGGGAGGTGTTATCAGCTTATATAAAATCCGTCTATAGTAATCTTGATGAAATAAAGCAAGTTAAATTTGGGAGGTGTTATTAGCTTATATAAAATCTGTCTTTAATAAGGCCATCAGTTCACCTCTATAATAATTTTTGTTTTTCCCAAATTTATATTTTTATTTTGTTTATAGTGGGCTTTAAAAATATATACAGAAGTAATACATTTTCAATGTGGTCAAATCTACCAATTGTTCTTTGTAATATTTTTTCATTACCTTTTATGCTTAAAAAATCCTTTCCCATCCCAATCCCAGATAACTACTTTTTCTTCTTTGTTTTATGGTTTTACACCTAATTCTTTAGTTCATCTGGAATTTATTTCAGTGTATGATATGTTATGAAGATCTAAATTATTTTTTTCCCAAATGGTTAGCCAGCTATTGAGATACTAAATTATTGCACCTACCAGGATCTTCC